GGAAGATTTGCTTCTTTCTGAGTGGTGTAATAAAAGAGGGATCGATACCACTTTGGGGTGCCTTGGTCTCGTGGTGGGTGCAATGTTTCGCTGACTCTTTGCATGCATTTACCCACATAGCCCTCCATACTACTCCTATTAATAACACTCATACTAGCTGGCATTCCATGCTTCTGTCGTGTCATAGTAATTGATAGTTAGCTCTGTGGGCTCCTGCTGGAAAGCATGATGCTGCCAAGCATGCACGCCAGGTGCGGGTGGAGGAGGCCAAAGCTGGCTGTGTGCTTACCTGGTGGGCAGAGCTTGGCCTCAGAGATCCCATCCTGGCACCAGTTGGAAGCTGAAAATTACATCTATCTGACAGCTTTGTTTTGATATTCTTATATGAAAACACAAAACATCTTTTTGCCTCCAAACAGTTTCACAGCACGTGTTTCTTGGTGATGTTTCTCTGTTACGTGAGCAGAAATATCTCTGTCTCTTCTGTTATGGAGGCCATGTATAAACCGTGGGTCTGTTCACGGCGTGCTTTAAGCTAACAGAAGCAATAGAGATCTCTTATTCTGAGCATTTCATTTTATGAAGTATTCTTCTCAGTTGATGAATATCATGTGAAAACAGCAAGGCACGTCCTGCTAGTTGCTCTTTTCACTTGCTGCAGTCTTGTTAGTGTTCCTTAAAAGAATTCTTAAACAAAGGCTTACCTCCAAAATAGATGAAACAATGCACGTTTTGCTTTCAGTTATCCAAACCTCTAACTCATGTTTTTTCTTTTCCAGCTTGTACTTCCAGAGTACCTCATCCATGCATTCTTCTGTGTTATGTTTCTCTGTGCAGCAGAGTGGCTTACACTGGGTCTCAATATGCCTTTGTTGGCTTATCATATTTGGAGGTAATATTGATGAGTCTGATATCTGTGTAATCATGTTAATTGTAACTCATTGCAGTGCTTCCTGTTAAGTGTTCTGTGTCTGCAGCAAGTAAGGATGCTTCCTGAGGTGGCAGTGAGAAAGCTGACATCCAGGCTATCAAATAAAAAGCATCGCTTTGCTTCCTCTCCTTGTTTGTATTCCCTTGTGCTGTGCAAGAACCCCATATTGGGCAGCAGTGGCAGCTGATGTGTCAGAGGTGCACTGAAGCTGCATACTGACAGCGTGGGCTGCTGGTAGGAGTGGCAGCCCTGCTTTTGCTATGAGAGTGGTGAGGTGCTGGAACAGCTGCCCAGAGAGGCTGTGGATGCCCCGTCCATCCCTGGAGGTGTTCAAGGCCAGGTTGGATGGAGCCCTGGGCAGCCTGGGCTGCTCTGAAATGTGGAGGTTGGTGGCCCTGCCTGTGGTGGGGGGTTGGAGCTTCGTTATCCTTGAGGTCCCTTCCAACCCTGGCCATTCCGTGATTCTGTGATAGCATCTGTGCAGGGAGCTGCAGGAGGTTGAAACGGAACCCAACAGAACAGTTTTCCCTGTGTGGATGTAGCTGTGATGTCCTGGCTGGAGGTAGGGTGGCTGTTTGCCAGCAGCCTGCATTAAGCCACAGCTGCAGGATCATTCTGCATTGACCTGTGTGAGCACTGCTCTGCTGTGGTACCCAGCATGCATTTTAGTAATGATTCAAGGCTGCAGGCTACGTAGGGTGCTGCAGTGATCCCTTCTCCACCTTTTCCAACCCTTTATAAGGAATCCCACGTACAACTGGTAGAATACTGTTTTTCATTTATAAACAAATGTCCTATTTCCAGCTGCTGTGCCAGAGCTTGGCCTTTTGGCTTTAAGGCTGGGGGCAGCTCCTGGGACTCAGTGTTAGAAACTCTTCGGTGCCCATGGTTAGCGTGGGGCCTCCTTCACTTTGCAGTCTCCTGTGAGGAGCTGTGGGCTGTGGCTCCTCATTGCAGTGCTGTGCTGCTTGGTGGGCGGGGGGCACAAACCCATGTTTGTCATTGCTGGTGCCCCAAAACTGATTGTGTGTCGCTTCCAGGTACATGAGTAGACCTGTGATGAGCGGCCCTGGTCTGTATGATCCTACAACCATCATGAATGCAGACATTTTAGCCTATTGCCAGAAGGAAGGATGGTGCAAATTAGCATTCTACCTTCTATCATTTTTTTACTACTTATATGGGTAAGTTTGTTCCTCTGTCCTCTGTCTAATCTTTAGTCTGCTCTTTTAGGCTGGGCGCAGCGCCAAGAGAAGTTTTGAACTCAGGAATGTAAATAACACCAACTTTCCTGAGGAAATAATTCACACAGTGCCTTATATCCCATTTAAAACACAAGTCTTAATTTGGTTGGAATGACTCTTTTGAATCCGTGCATTAGAATGACTGGAGAGCTCCAAGCCTCTCTTCTTTTAAGCACAGCTGAATGCCACCCTCCCCACCCTGACCTGTATGTTCATTAAGAAATTGGAACAGCAGTACTTCTCAGTTGTGTAGGTACTGGAACTGATTTTTCTTTGAGTTTAAGGTGGCAGTCATTCCGAGAGTGAAAAGGAATGGGACCCACGAAAGCCATCACAACTCCCTCGTGTGCCTTGTCCTGCTTCCAAGCCAAAAGCTGATGGGTGCTTGGGCAACGTGACGCAGCTGCTGAGTGCTGACATGGGTTAGGGGTGTTACAGGGCTCCCTGTACGGTGCTGCTTCATCTGCTTGTTGCATCAGTTCTCATCATCCTTCGTAGTGCCCCTCTGGTGTGTTTGTGTGACACCTCCTGTCGCAGTCCACGTGCCTCACACGGATTTGTTCCTTTAAGACCTCATAATTAAACGTGTAACGTTTATCGAAATTACACATCTGAATGTTATTTTTTTTTTCTTATTTTTCAGCATGATTTATGTTCTGGTGAGCTCTTAAGAAGACATTTGGCAAGCTTTGTTCCATTTAAGTGCATGCAAAAGCCACAAACCATGGATTATTTACAGCGACGACGTCGTACCAAGATTAAATACGGAACCCGATGATCGCATTTGCTTTACAAAACAACGACTCCCCTATTTTTAAAATATTTCCACATTTTATACTTGTGGAAAGACTGTTTTCTTATATTTTACCGGGACACTGAAATTATGGAATTACGTGTACATTAGTATAAAGATTACTGGGTTTTGACTTTGCACTCCATAAGGAACAGCCGTAGTCCTCGAGTAGGTGTTTGTAACTGAGCAGCCATAGCACAGCAGTTCCTTTGGGCCGGGCTTCAGCCTTGTATCCCTCTGACTGCCATCAGCTGTACTGCCACGGGCTGGGGGGACTGGGCATGCCGTGCTCTACCTGTAGGTGATGTCAGTCTTAAGAGATGAATTCAGGGACACAACTGCAGAAACAGCACTTCTGTTCTTTTTTTCTTTTCCTATCTGGGTAATCTTTCCCTGTAAGTGCACGGTTCTGTATTTTCACCAAATGCTAGCCTTGCTGTAATCACAGGCGTGCGTCATCGTGATAGGAAACATTGCATTGTCCACAAAGGAGTGAATTTAATGATTTTTTTACAGTCTGTGCACAGACACCATTAGCAAACTTACTCACAAATAGATAAATCCACATTTATCAATTCCAATGGTGAAAATACTCCTGAGCTTGAGAGTAATACTACAGAGCTTTTCAAAGGAGAAATTGTGAAACTGCCCTGCTGTTCCTTAGTGCAATAAATAAAGCCTCAAATTCAGAAATGCTTATTTTTACTTGGTGCCTCATTTTGTCTTTAAATTCAGCTGTTTTCTGAGGGGATCACTGCATTACTTTTTATAAATGGAACACAGAATCAAGTCATGTCTGGAAAAGGGAAGCTTCAATTCCCTGCTTTTGTGTTGTTGTGGCTCTGCAGATAAATAGTGATTGGGGCTGGGAGAGATGTTGCACATAAACTGGTAACATTGCGTTGTAAACGGTTGTTGTGAGCAGCTTAAATGTGATAACTAAGAATCTTTTCCACTTAACCGCAGAGGAAAATGAAGTAATTTTCCAGTTCTAGCAACACATTTTTGTATAAATAGTTTAATTGTTCCCTTTGAGTCTCTCAGGTGCGAGAGCTAATAGCACATCATACAGGTGGCTGGAGAAATCTGTAGTCCAATATTCATGTGCTGTACAGTGGAAGAAAATAGGTAAAAACCCACGTGTTACAGATCTCCTGCACTGGGGACTTGGCATCTTCAACAGTCATTGAATGTCTCCCATTAATTTGGTTGCTTTTTGAGTACTTCCATAGCCTAGAATGAAAGGTGCCCAGAGGCAGTGAGCTGTGCCTCACAGGATGAGTGTGTGTGTATGGGGGGGAAAGATGACAACATGCTGAAAAATTCTGCTTAATTTCACGCAGTACCTCCAAATTCCTCTTCCAACCCACCCCCAACTGTTCCAAGCTTTACTCCACCACTTCTGTGTTTGACAAAAGAATTCTTTCCCTTAAGCTGTGACTCTGAGCTTTTTGCTAAACGATGTTGAAAGTCTCTTTGGAAATCCATGCAATGGTTCCTATTGGACCAGCTTTGTTTCCTGCTTCATTTTACAGCCATTTGAAACTCGGGGCTGTGAGAGAGCAGAGCCATAATTCTGTGCACTCAGCTGCACAGAAGCAAAATGTTCCTCAATAAATAAAACAATAAAGCTTTACACATGGGAATCCAAAGGTGAAAGCAGGAGAGTAACTTCCTAGTGGGGTTCTACTGTGAACTTCAGCTTCCAGCTGCCCCTAGGAACAAAATGCTTGGCTTGAGTCTGTCCTGCTGCTGTAGATAAGTATGCCAGAACTGAGGAATTATACATAGCTATATATCTATTTATTATATATAGCTACATTTTACAAACAAGGCTGTGGCCAGGAAGTACATTTGTCTCTTCTCTTTTCCCAAGGCACTGAAGTAGAAGGCAGCCTTTTGGCATTCCAAGTCTGTACTTAGCTGTGATAGGGTTACAGATTGTTTTGTTTTCACACATATCTTCCCTGCCTGTCCAGCACTTGTCCCATTTCTCATGCTACACAGAAACAGAGACAAAACACAAACGAAATTCAGTTGTAGCTTTGATAGCCCAGCCCTGCTTCCATGCAGTAAACACACCAGAATGTCAACACAGAGAGGCCAGCACACCAGTGCAGTGGCAGCACAGTGCCAAGAGATGCTAAACATGAGATAGTCTACATTCAAGTTGTCCTTGTGTTGAGAAGAAGCCTGTTAGGAATTCAGGTCACCACCACACCAGAAATGAACACAAAACAGTTCAGTGCATTTTTAAGGCAGTGAGTACTAACGATTGCTAAAAAGATGAAGATGCTCTGTGGCCATCAAGATTTCTGCTCCCAGCCCCAACATTTTACACACACATCTGAAAGTGAGCAGCAGTGTCACTGAGGCAGCAACAGCAAGCAGTTATTGAGGTTGAGATGAGCTGCCTCATCCAGGTGTCTGCCACAGCCACGTAGACAAAGCCAGTCCAGCACATGTTCACCGTGACACCGATCTTTGTACTGTATCCTGTGCTTCCAGCTGTGCAGCTGCATTCTCTCGGAAGTCATGGATATAATTGTATTGCTGAAAAAGCACAATCACATTTGTAACGAGCTCTATGTACTTCTGCAACAGGCACAATTCATCTTAAAAAGCTGTCTGATTCCCCAGAATTCAAAAAGCAGCCTTCAACTCTATTTAGTTTTTCTTCTTGTGCTCACTCCAAATCCTCTGGAATTTTTTTTAATCATCGGACAGATGAGATGGATCTCAGCTCAGCTCCTATGCTTGCCAGGAAGGGCACACGTGAGCTTAAGGTAAGTCTAGGAAGGTGGGAGTTCCATGTTAGAAATCAAAGTTGCTTTATTTGGGCCAACCAAAGAGCTCTGCTCTCTCCACAAAGAGTCCATGATGCCAAACAATCTCCATTCAGCATAATGAGACCCAACAGTTTGTGCTAAGAGCTGTCATGTCAACCCAGACATCATTTGGAGCACTAATATACAAGTATTCAATATGAGATTTGATTATCAGAGGCTAAAGGAAAGACCAACCCACGTGAAGGCTTCAAATGATGTTCATATTTCTTACCCCCACCCCCAACCTCCTTCAACCAAGGATGCAAGCTGCTCCCTTATCTGTCCTCTTGGTTTGCAGAAAACTGATATTCAACAAAGAGCTCAAAATAAATTTGGGTTCCATAGAGGCTTAGAGCTGGTGAGGAGACAGGCTTCAGGTAACTCCTTTTTTCTTGGAAGCTACTGCCTTGTAAACTGATTCAATGTCACCCTCTCTTGTCTGCACACAGAACTATTGTAAGAACATAACTTATGTATGAACTTCTGCTGAACCAAGAGTAGCCAAATCCCCACCAAAGAAAAATAGAAACCCAACTGTTAAGCAGCTTAAGACCCTCCATGTAGGGTTTGAAAATAAAGTTAGGGGTACTTCTTGAAAGAAGACTGCTAGTGCATTCATGTGACAGCTACAGTTAGGCTGAATTAGATTTAAGAAAGAGGCAGAAAAATTAAGCAGAAGAGAATGAGGACAACAGAAAGAGGGACAACAGCTTAGTGAGTTATGAGCAGGGATAAGGATGAGAAAGCAAGAGATTACTAATGATGGCAAAGAGCAGACAAGCAGGACATGTGTTGAATTCAGTATAGGCAGACCAGGCTGGCATCAGCAGGAAAGAAAAATGCCAGAAGCAGCTCGAACTCAGGAAAGCAGTGGGGGCAGCAGATATGAAACACCTTCAAGAGATGGAGGGATCCCTTTGTTAAGTGGAAGGAAGGACTGTCCAGACTCTTCACTTGTTTCAACCCATCTGTTACCTGCTGCAGACCCATTACCTTGATTGTCTGTATCGCCCTAGATCCTCTTAATTCTCTGAGGCTGTCTATTGCTTGCTGAGGTGTCACTACATCCGAAAGCTGAAGCAGGAGGCATGCAGCTACTGTAAGGGAAAGGAAAGCATGTATTCTGCTGAGCACCTCTTGCTCTGCACAGCACTGCTTTGGCACAGTAACAGGTCTATTCTGTGAAAACCACTCTAGGAAAAGCCAACCCCACCATATCAGAGATAACAGATCTGCTGGACCTTTTACCAAATACAGTCGGACGGCCTTTGTCCCATCTGACTGCTGCACCTTTAGGCAGTGGTGTCTCTTGGGAACAAAGGTTAGTTAATCAGGTTAGTTAATCAGGCACTGAGAGCTGCTTACTGAGACAGGAGCGTCCGAGACCGCCATAACAGCTGCAAGAGAAGAGAATGTTTGGTTATAGCAAGCTGTGGTACACTGTAACATTCACAGTCCCTTCCTATGCAAGTGTAACATACAGCTCTTGCCTCAATGTATTCAAGAGCAGCAGTAGTACCAGAAAGCCTTGTAATTACTCCCAGAAATACTAAGTATCCTCTATGTATTCTCCAGACCTTCCTTTTTTACTGTCATTGTAGAGAATCTGCTGTTTTAAAGTTCCTCTTCATTCGGTAACAGACCCAAAGGCACAAGAGGTCAACAAAAGGTATGAAGAAATCTCCATTTCCTTAAAAATCCTACTCCAGGTTAAGGTTTTGATAACAGTTGTGAGTTAATGGTAACAGCAGGCCTCTGCAACAGTAAGAAGTCTGAGAACTTCAGTGGCTGTATGTGCAGGAAGCTGTCAGCAGGATCTCTCAGGGAACATGGATCTCAGAAAGCTCATTTTCTCTACCCTGAGCTCAGCTACAAATGCCTAAAGATACAACTTTCAATCAGTCTTATGCAATTTAAAATGGATTTTGAACTGCTAGAACCCAATGAGCCTTTGGTAAACAGCCTGGGGTATGTTATCCTATGACAGTGTCTGCTTTAACTTACAACTGTTCCTATATACCTGATATCCAACCAGCCTAGCCACAAGGAGTTGCATACTACCAGCCAGCACACATTTTGAAGCATTTGCAGGACAGAGAAGGGGAAAGAGGGAGAAACAGATCTCAGAAAGGCCAAGTCAGCTCCAAAGGGGTAATGAGCTGAAAGAAGTTTTTCACAGCTTGAGCTAACCCTAAAGAAAGTGACTGTCATTTGACAGGGTTTCATTTCAGGTGGTCATGCAGGAACACTCGGTGAAGGAATCACAACTTACTGGATGATTGTCTTCCTGTTGCTTTCCAAGCAGCTTCTGAGCTCTCCCAGAATTGTACAGCAGGTGGTCATGTCAGGAGCATCTCCATCTGGAATGGGATAGTGGTGCACACAGATCCCACACTCTTGGTAGGCATCTATAAGGTTTGGTACTCGGTATTTTAAGAGCTCTCCTTTGGTACAAAGCACAAACACATCCTGTGTCCCACAGTTCTTTAGTTCATCTGCCAACAGATTAAGCAAATAAACAAAGCCTATCAAGCTTAAGCGTAAACAGATTAGCTACTTGATTCCCTCGTTTAGCCTCTGCAGTTAAGACAATAGAAGTTAGCAATTTTGCTTTGAGCAGCATTTATTTCGATTGAGTCTTGCCTACATTTGCCTTCAGATAACCTGCAGGAGGAATTCTCAGTTCAGATTCAGCCTGTAGACAAAGCTCACCCAGAGTAAGGTCAGCACTGAAAACAGTCTTACTAACTACTGCTGGCTTAAGCATGATTCTACCCCATCTCCAGCTATAACTGTCAACTGTCTACCTTTTCTAGTCTTTACAGCTGAATACCAAGCACAGATTTTTTACACTATTTCATCTTTTCTATCCTCTTCACAGTTTCCACTGAGAAGGGGTGATAACAGGTCTGTAATTCATCTCAGTCCTAACTGTTTTGAAGATGCTCTTGGCCTGTACATGGTGTGTGACTTCATAGTACTCAAGTTACTGGGAGAAATACAAAGAAATACAAAGATACCTGTATTGCTCCAGCCTGGAAATATCCTGCCCAGGTTAGATGAACAATTCCATCAGATTCCAATGTAATAAACAACATCCAATGGGGGGGAAATGAAAATTCGTAATGAAGTGAAGTCTATTACTTTTGTTTTTTTAAGAAGAGAGTTATCCTTGCTTTTACTGTTGATCAGTAGAATTAATTTTGGCTCTTTCTGAATAATAGAAAAATGTATATGAAGGCAGCTTGAAAATTAGTTTGTATGAAGGGGTAAAGTAAAATGAAGGGGTGGGGATGGTTGGATATTTGTTAGCTGCTGTAGCAAAGTAAAGTATTTGGACCATTCTAAAAAGGTTTTTAAATTATCTAAAGTGATATTAAGTTTTTTGGTTTGTAATAAACTCTGCTGTAATCAATAATTTACGGTAAACTGTCAAATGTTAGTGATACCTGTGTTTTAATGTAAGTAATAATTGAACAGTACATTTCTCTTTTCAATATAGAACTGCATATGAGTGGGTAACTCCAGCAGCCTATGGGTTAGTAGTGGTTACATCCTCAGAAGGAAGAAATCTGCCTTATGGCCGTTTAGAAGACTCCAGGTTAAGTCAAAGGAAGCCTGTAAGAGTATCTTCTGCTTTTATTTCACATGCACATTGTTCTTACCATTCCATGACAATGAGAGGCACTCAGGCACTGATGAGAAGACTCACCGATATCTTTCTGAAGATTCCTTCTAACATCCTTAAACCTGCAACCTAAAACAAATGATGAATGCTGATTATGACCTCACGTTTCATAAATGCCTGCTACAACAGAAGAGCAAAGCAGACAACCTCCTCTCAGCACCAAAGCCACAGCCCCACAACAGTTTTTAGTTCTGCAAATAGATTGCTAGTGCAGAATACAGTATTAAGCAAATAACGGTGTTTAAACTGTCATGGAACAGGATTTTAAATGTCACTTAGGGTTTTAAGCTGTTGTACACCTTACAGATGAAAAGTTTGGGATATTATAAACCAGGGTGCATTTGGTGCCAGGATTGTGCACCTCCTGACGCATACCCTGAAAACATGAGAGCAGAATCCTGTATAAGAGCTCTGTTGGCAGGTCTGCCATTGGAGTTCAGCATTCAAAAGTTAAACATCTATTACAGGAGCAGCTCATGTAGCTCAACATGAAAATACAACTATTTCTGGTGTACGTTTTTGCAGGTGTTCAAGTTTTTGTGGGATTCTCATCAGTACTGGCACCACCTAGTTCAAGGTATCTTAAATCATAGAATCCTAGAATGGCCTGGGTTGCAAAAGAGCACAATGCTCATCCAGTTCCAACATCCTGCTATGTGCAGGGTCACCAGCCAGCAGACCAGGCTGCCCAGAGCCACATCCAGCCTGGCCTTGAATGCCTGCAGGGATGGGGCATCCACAGCCTCCTTGGGCAACCTGTTCCAGTGCCTCACCACCCTCTGGCTGAAAAACTTCCTCCTCATATCCAACCTAAACCTCCCCTGTCTCACTTTAAAACCATTCAATCTTCTCCTATCACCATCCACCCTCACAAACAGCTGTTCCCCCTCCTGTCTACGTGCTCCCTACAAACATTGGAAGGATACTACTTGGAAGACACTCTGCCAAATAACAGGAAACAGAATTTAGGGCTATGAGATATTTCTTCTCAGCTCAAACACACCCACAGACTTCAGCAGAGCTGCTTACCCGGCAGGGAACACACGCCCAGGAACGCAGACGAGTAGGCAGGAGACAGAGGAAGCCTGTCAGGAGATAAACCGCACGTTAAGTAATCGGAAAAATATAAAAAAGAAAAGAAAACCAGCACTACGCTGGTCACTTAAAGAGAGATTCAGCACAACGCTGAGGGAACAGCACGTCCCACAGCACGCTTCCCCACAGGGCCGATAAGAACCCACAGCGCCCGCCCCGCTCCTCACCAGGACAGCGGCAGCGGCGCCGGTTTCTCCCCCTCCTCCTCAGCGGCCTCTTCGTCTGACGAGTCAAAGCCGGCTACGTGCATGGCTCGCGGCTGCGCATGGAGAAGAGCGAGGAACCACCAGAGCGCTGCCCTACCCCTCGCTGAGGGCCGAGGTTGAGGGGCCGAAGATGCCGGCTCCGGCCCCAAGATGGCGCCGCTCCCCTCCCGCCGTCCGTTTGAATTCAGCCCGCCCACACGCCGCATCTCATTGGTTGAACCCATCCCTCTCATCGTCCAATGGAGAGCCATCGCGGGGCCTTCTCGAGGAAGAGCGCTCTGATTGGCGGCCAGAGGAAGAGAAGCGCATTGATTGGCTGGCGGCGACGTCGCGTGAATTTAACATCTAAAAAACTCGCTGGCAGGCAGGCTTCACTTTCTGGAATTTTCTGTCATAGAATCACAGAATGGCCTGGGTTGCAAAGGAGCACAGTGCTCATCCAGTGCCAACCCCCTGCTACGTGCAGGTCGCCAACCAGCAGCCCAGGCTGCCCAGAGCCACATCCAGCCTGGCCTTGAATGCCTGCAGGGATGGGGCATCAGCCAAAAGTAGTCACAGATGGACTAAAACTTGCACGTAGGAAGTTCTTCACTGACGCGTGGAAGAACTTCTCTGCAGTCATGATGACAGAGCGCTGGAACAGGCTTCAGAATACTATTCAAGCATTCAATACGGCCTGCCCCCATTGGGTTATGTGGCAGGTGGAGTCTCAAAACAGCTCAATGTTGTTTTCTTCTGCCCAGCGTTGTATCATGGCACCAGTGAAATGAGTCCCTTGGTTGCTGTCAATGACACGAGGTGTGCTGTAGGCAGCCACTTGGTGAGCACCTTGATGCCATCTGCCTGGTTCACTCTTGGCACTGCCTCAGCCCTCCTGCTGTTTTGATGCACATCTCATCCCCTCAGACCAAGGCAGGGGCCCAGTGTAATCAACCTGCCATCGCTGGAGAGGATTGTGTCCTCTAGCAAGATGTGCTGTTGTTTCAGGTCACAGTCTTGGTCTCATCTTGGAGCAAGCATTACTGTGCAGCTTCCTGCATAGATACTATCACAGAATCACAGAATGGCTTGGGTTGGAAGGGACCTCAAGGATCACGAAGCTCCAACCCCCCACCACACGCAGGGCCACCAACCTCCACATCTCACAGCAGCCCAGGCTGCCCAGGGCCCCATCCAACCTGGCCTTGAACACCTCCAGGGATGGACGGGGCATCCACAGCCTCTCTGGGCAGCTGTTCCAGCACCTCACCGCTCTCACAGCAAACAACTTCCCCCTGACCATTTCCCAGTGATTGTAGAATTTGGTGGTTAGAAACATGACAGATATGTATGGTCCTGTATTTAACCACATCCCTAACCCCTAACCACATATCTCTGCCCCACTTTGGTTGGTGTGGATAGTCCATTCCTGAGTGGCTTTTATTGCTTGGTTTGGTCCCAGAGTCCTGTTGATGGAACTGCACAGAGAAACTGTCACTGGTGAGGTGTCCAAGGGAATTAGCATTCTGCAGGTAGCAGCCATAAATCCTTCCAGTGACATCAACCTTATGATTCTGCAGCAGTGGATATTAACCTTTTCCCTCATGTTACAATTTAAAGAAGTTTCAGGCTTCTCCTCCCCACAAAAGTCATAAAGAGTTAGAAGTTAATTGCAAGCTCTCAAACCAGATTCACCCCTGTGTGTTTGACATTGACCACATTCTCAGCACTGTTCTAGGCAGTGTGTGCAAGTGCCCTTCTCCTCAGCTGTGTTGCTTTGTGCTGTGATTGCCTTAAGGCTCCTTGCCTGACACAATTTTCCTCCCAGCTGTGGCCACAGCTGGGGATGTGGGTTCAGATGCTCTCACTGCTGTCAGGGGATCCCCACCCTTACATGTTTTATTGGTTCAGCCAGTTGATACCACTATTCTTTTCCTTCCAAAATATTTTTTCCTCCTGTAGTAGAAAAAAAATAATAAATTCTTTGCCAAAACCTAAGGAGCCCAACTCTGTTCTGTAGCGGGAAGGTTTCTATTCTAGGAAAAATTTCCTATTTCAAAAAAACTGGATGACTTTCATGTTCATAATGGTCACCTGAAGTCAGTCTCTGGGGTATGGCGCCCAGGGATGCAATGCCAGTGCAGTGCTGGTGATCAGTATGGGCAGATAGCAGAGCGTTTGGTGAATGTTTCTGCTTTTTATGTACAAATGTCACAAAGCTTTACGTTTCTGGTAGAAAATGACACATTGCTTTCCTTGAGCGTAATTAACTCTGATTGTACAACATCACAATTTCTTGCTTTCCTGGCAGAACTGAAATGTGGCATGACAGGGTGTGGGCATTTTTATAAACCTGAAATAAATTTATCTTGCTCTTCCCTCTGCCCTCCTCCTCTCCACATACTAACAATAACAGCAATTAAAGAAGTCATTAAGCTATTGCAGGAGGCAGCCAGGTCTAATGGAAACGAGCTCCTCTCTGTGAAGATGAGGTTCATCAACCCACTGGTGATCAAATTGTGTCAGCTATAGTTTTCTGCTTGTCCTAATTTTGCCCTAACTTAATCTGTTTGGACTGCGGATCAAATCTGACTTTTATCTGGCAAGTCCTTCGTGTTGCAAAAGTGCAGTGGGAGAAGCAGGAGGTCCAGAAAGAGAACCTTTCCCTGACCCTCATCTGGTGCAGCTCCAGGCTGTTCCCTAGAGAGCAGAGCTCAGCATTGTCCCTTTGCTCCCTGTGAGATGCTGCAGGCTGCCAAGAGAAGGTGAAGTAGAAGGGGAGTTGGGTAGAGAGGAACCTGATGGGCTTCAATTAGAGCAAGTGTAGAGTCTTGCACCTGGGGAGGAATAATCGCATGCATCAGTACAGGTTAGGGGCTGAGCTGCTGATGCTGAGCTCCGTGGAGAAGGACCTGGGGGTCCTGGTGGATGACAGGTTGGCCATGAGCCAGCAGTGTGCTTTAGTGGCCAAGAAGTCCAGTGGGACCTTGGGGTGCATTAAAAAGAGCGTGGCCAGCAGGTCTAGGGAGGTGATCTTCCCTCTCTATTCTGCCCTGATGAGGCCACATTTAGAACACTGTGTCCAGTTTTGGGCTTCTCAGTTGAAAAAAGACAGGGATCTCCTAGGAGGAGCCCAGCAGAGAGCCACAAAGATGATAAAGGTTCGGGAGCATCTCTCTGATGAGGAAAGGCTGAGAAACCTGGGACTGTTCAGCGTGGGGAAAAGAAGACTGATGGGGAATCTGATTAATGTTTATAAATATCAAAAGGGAGGTGGGAGGCAAATGAATGATACCAGGCTCTTCTTAGTGGTGCATAGTGATAGGACAAGGAGTAATGGCCTAAAATTTGAGCATAGGAAGTTCCATACCACCATGCAGAAGAACTTCACAGCGAGGGTGATGGAGCACTGGAGCAGGCTGCCCAGAGAGGCTGTGGAGTCTCTATCTATGGAGATATTTGTGAACTGGAGCCTACCTATGTGACCTAGTGTAGGGTACCTGTTTTAGCAAAGGAATTGGACTCGACGATCTCCTGAAGTCCCTTCCAACCTCTGCAATCCTGTGATTCTGTGACAAGGAGCTGCAACCACCATGATGACTCCCCTCAGCCTCCTCTGCTCTGGGCCCAACAAACCCAGGGCCCTCAGCCACCCCTCACATCCCCTGCCCTCAGACCCTTCCCAGCTTCATAGTCTTCCTTTGGACACTATAATGGTTACACTAACTTGCTGTCCTGTAAGCTCTGGGGGAATGTTTTTCCTTTTTTTGTGTCTCTTTTTAAACAAAATCCAAGCTCGTTGCAGCTCCATCTGTAGGTAGATCAATCAAAAATGAAAAAAAAAAAAAAGGAGCAGAATTTGCATATTAGACTAAGTTTAGAAATTTACTAGAAATCATTCTCTGGCTTCTTTTTTAAAGCTAGAAAAAAAGTATAACAAGTATTTCCGAAAATTTAGTCCTTTAGATGCTGCAGGACTGAAGGTTTCTATTTTAGCAAGGGACGAGTGATCGTGTCTTGAAGTTGCTTTATTCTTTAGAAGTGTCTTTCACAGCGAGGAGAAGGCCTTCTTTGTCACAAATACAAACAACTTGCCTGCTGGTGTCCAGTCAGGTACTCAGAATCATCCCTTCTGGCAGAATCAAGGCATGAGCTCTCATGTGATTGATACAGGTGCTGGCAGATCAAAATCTGGCTGTTTTCCTGCTGAGGGGAGAGCTTCCCTTGTAAGATCTCTTTCCTCAGGGTTTATGAGCTAAACTGGGCAAGCAGCTTCCTTCTTTCACAACCATGGAGGATGTCAGAATGTTGCAACTTTATGCTACGTGTTTTTCTCTGAAATTATTGCTTTGAAAGCTCTGAAATCTCAATTTCACCTTCTTGTGTCCTCACTCAACTTTCTTGCACAGCATTCCTTCAGAACAGAGGAGAAAAACAGTAGAAACAGAGATGAGAACACAGAAACGTGCTGTTTTGTTCCTTTACCAGCCCCAAAACACAGGATGCAGGCAGGAAAGCTTTGAACAGACAGTTCTGGCTGCCACCAGGTTTGGTCTGTATTTATCCTATTTCACAGCAGGATTTAACACCATGGTGAATGTTACTGATCCTCCAAAGGATATCTTCATGGCTGCTGGTTATTTGTTATGTTATAAGCTACAGTTTGCCTTGCTAAATGTTGCTGCTGTGTTAGAGCTTTCATAGAGAAGAAGCTGCCAGCGATGTCCTCTTACCACAGCACTCCCATGAGAGCTGGTGGCTGGAAGGTGAGGTGACAAACCTTGGTGCAGCTATGAGATATCCAAATCATGGACTTGGTTTCTCATTCTGGCAGGACTTTATGTGAGCAAGGAAGGTGTTTTGGGTTGCCCCACATGTCTGCAGTGCTCTAGGGCAGAATTGTAGGTTGGAAACCACTAGAAATTCTTACTCCAAATGTCAACCCATCACCACCAGGAGCAGTAACCTAATGCATAAAAGCAAGTGTCTTTTGGGTGATTCCTTAACCTGCATTGATCCTCTCTGACATGAATGCATGAATGCTTTCCTTACTCTTGTTGGTTGACTGCCTTTGTATGTTTACAGCCTTCAGTGCCACAGAACTCGGAGCTGACTCATCACTGTGCTGACAGTGAACATGTTTTGGAATGAAATAATGATGGTGGGACAAGCTCCTTCCTTCTTGTTGATCCACTCTGGCTGCCAGAGCTAAGCCTCATTTGAACTCATCTCAACCATTCTGGGCTGTGCACCACTCCTGAGGACACGGAACCATTTCTTTACAAAACATGAAGGGACTGATTTGAATTTCTACAAAATCTCATCAGCTCTTCCTACTGTTTTCTCAAAGCAAACCAACCTTCACTGAAGTGTTTTCCCCTGATGCTGTCACACCTAAGCTGCATAAATGATACCTTTTCTTCCAAGGTTTTCTGTCTGAGCGACATGTGGTATGATAAGGATATTGTTTCCTCCCTAAGTTCTCATCTCAGTGTATACTCTCTCCCCAAATCATTTGGGATTTCTGTAGGAAATCATCAGAACATCATGACTATGTTTATTCCTTGACACTGAGAAGCATCTTTAAAAAGAGCAGAAGAGATGTGTGTGTACTTAAGTTGTAAAGAGAGAAGGGCAAGAATGAGCAATGCAGAAATTTTTCATGCTGGCAGCAACAATTGTGTTTTTCTGGACAGAAAGTCTTTCCTGGCCATTTATTCTGAAGCATTTTACAGTTTGGGAAGACTACAGGAAGAGGCCAGCGCTCCATGTTAGTGATGAGTAACATTACTGAGGACCTTTTCCCATAGAATCATAGAATTCTTAGAGGTGGAGGGGACCTTTAAAGGCCATCTAGTCCAACTCCCCTGTATCATACAGGGACACCACAGCTCCATCAGGTTACCCAGGGACTGGTCCAGCCTTGCCTTGAAAGTCTCCAGGGATGGATCATCTACCACATCACCGGGCATCCTGTTCCAGTGTCTCACCACCCTCACTGTAAAAGACTTTTTCCTTATATCCAACCTAAATCTACTCTCCCTGTGCTTGAAGCCATTTCCCCTTGTTCTGTCACCACAGACCTTGCTGAAGAGTCTGTCCCCTTCTTTCCTGTAGTTTCCCTGTAGACAATGACAGGCCACTACCAGGTCACAAAGTTGTCTTTGTTTTCCACTTGTTTGGGAAACTTCACTTTACACCTGAAAACATTAGAATGCTTCTTTTCCTGGCTATCGCAAGGTCTGTTGGATGTTCCAATATCACTTTCAGTTAAAGGGAAAAATAGTCCAAAGGTTAACATTTGGGAGATGCTGGACTGGAGCTGACATTCCAAAGTCTGGCAGAGCCCATCATCAGTGGGAAATAACCAGATCTCCTAGCAGGAGCAGGGTTGTTGTTGTGAGTGATTCAGGGAGCCTGCAGGCACTGCTGCAGCCAACAATAGCCTCACAGAATCACAGAATGGCCAGGGTTGGAAGGGACCACAAGGATCACGAAGCTCCAACCCCCCACCACAGGCAGGGCCACCAACCTCCACATCTCACAGCAGCCCAGGCTGCCCAGGGCCCCATCCAACCTGGCCTTGAACACCTCCAGGGATGGACGGGGCATCCACAGCCTCTCTGGGCAGCTGTTCCAGCACCTCACCACTCTCACAGCAAACAACTTCCCCCTGACGTCCAACCTCAATCTGCCCTCCCTCAACTTCAAACCATTTCCCCTTGTCCTGCTGTTATCTACCCTTTGAAAGAGTTAAAGGAGCCTCCAAGGGAAAAGCAGCTTTGTTTTCCTGGATGTCCCTGCTGATGTGTGACACTCCCACTATAGGAACAACAGAAAGAATTCATGGTTACAGTTTGCTAAGATATAGTAGGGCAGAAGGCCCATGGAAATAACGTTTCTGGAGAGAAGATGGAGAAGAGTTTGTGTAAGCTTCCACTGGTGATGATATTGTGAACCTGCTTGTGAATCAGAACACTTTCAGTCCTCATTTCCTGCAGATATGAGTCAAGAAGAGCCTAGCTTGACCTGCAAACCCCAGGCAGTTTGGAGGTCCAGCAGAGAGGAGGGTACTTCCTATGTGTAGAAATTGGTAAGGCAGTGGGTGGTGTCTTACAGAGTCCACGCTTTCAACTGTGGATTGTGATCCTGTGATGTTCTTCTTTGCACTTTAGCAAAATCAAATCTCTACATCTTGAGATGGGCACAGTGTAACAATAGAGATTCCTAAATGTTTTACCACTTTGGATTCTCAGCCCTGTGCAAAAAACCACCGTGATAATGTCATTAAAAATAATTCCTTTATGAAGATTAAAGCCTCTGATGAATGCAGTCCCACTCTCCACAGCCTTGCAGTACATCACCCTTCAAGCAGAAGCCCTGTCCATCCCTACCGCAGTGAGAAAAGTAAATGCATTAGGAGAAATTAAGTTTGGCAGGACAGGGAAGTCAGGATGGAGCTTCCATGCATTGAAGGTGGAGGCAGACACAGGCTGCAGAAAAGACATTTAAAAATATTGCCTGGGCATGTTGAGATGTATCAGGAAAGCCCAATGGCACTTGGATTTGAGACTTGAAAAGAAAGTCAAGGGCAACAAGTAGAGCTTCTAGTACTGCATTAGCAGTAGTCCAAATAAGGAACATTTGAGCCATTTGCTGAGCGGGGTGGGTGATGCAGAGACAGCAGGCAATGAGGAACTTGATGCTTTCTTTGCTTCTGTCAGCAGGATTTCTTGAGCCTCTCTGCCTAGGGAAGGTTTTCAAGGAGAAAATGACCAGCAGTGGGTAAGTATCTATTCAGGGACTGCTTCTATGATAATTTGATCCACACAAGTCCATGGAATGAGACAGGATGCATCTGAAAGTGCTGAGAGAATTGGGTGATACCCTCGTAAGACTGCTTTTAATTTTCTGTATTAGTACAAATAAATAATAATCCAGTCCATGTGTAATTCAGCTCAATTCACGTGAGCTACGTCCTTACTTTCCATAATGCAAATGAGAAGATTGCAGCTCTGCTGTTTGTTTGATGCCATAGCCTTGCTTAGAAGCCCACCTCAGGACAGCATCATCTCCCTGTGAGTACTCTCTTCACATGAACTTTTCAAGGTCATTGACTGCCTGAGCAACTCTTTTATACAATTTCCTACCATTAAGTACAGCAGAAGCAAGTCAGCCTTGGTACTTTATTTATAGATCCTGTAGTTCTTGCATTCTATTAACCAGGGCAGAAGTGGGATGAATTTTTTATCCATTATGGACCTTGTGCTGCATAAAATATTGTGCATTTTTGCAGGAGGCTCTACTGTTTTAACCTCTGACACGTAATTAATGATGCAGCTACCAGTGCTCTACTGATGTCTTGTATAAGGCTTGTGTGGTGCATGTGTATTTATCTACTTCATATTCGTTCAGTGTATTACATTGACTTTGTTTGTAGTGAGAAGTCCAAGTGTTCAGCTTCCCTGTATTTACCAAGAACTGAGAAGCAAGAACACATGCTGATGTGCCAAATGGTACGAGGTGACGAGGCTAATACTCACATTTCATGCTCTTCGCTTTCTATTTGCATTTTGGTCACAACTTTAGGTTGCAAGACTGAAAGCTCTTCCCTGGGCCTCTGTCACTGCTGACACCTTGGGAGCATCTGCTGGTGATCACAGAAGGGAATGAAGTTGGCTTTGGCTGGTTCTCTTACTGCACGCATGGACAGCAGCCTTAATGAGCAGTGTTTAGCTGACTGCTCAGCAAGGTTTTAATAGAATCATAGAATCTTAGAATGGCTTGGATTGGAAGGGACCTCAAGGATCATGAAGCTCCAACCCCCCACTACATGCAGGGCCACCAACCTCCACATTTCAGAGCAGCCCAGGCTGCCCAGGGCCCCATCCAACCTGGCCTTGAACACCTCCAGGGATGGACGGGGCATCCACAGCCTCTCTGGGCAGCCTTAAGTGTTTTCATAAGGTTTCTTTCTTCCTTCTTTTCTGCCCTACGCCACAGAGCTCTTGAACTGGTGTTGAGGTGAGACCAAAGGCAGCATTTATGGTGCTAAAGAGCACAATCAGCAGGACTGGAGTGCCAGCACAGAGGCCACAGGGGATCTGATGATACCTAGAGGGACCCAGATCCAGACATTCTCTGAGCACCTCTCATGTACTCTTGAGCCATTTCCCCGGAAGACCAGAAGAGAAGGAGGTGTCTCTGATGTTTTTGCAGCAGACATAATTTCCCTTTGGGGTTTCAGCAGGTGGGACAGCCATTCTCCATCTGTCTTGATCTCTGCATCCCCTCAGAATGTGATTCCAGGGAGAGCATGAGGGTTCAGCATGGCAAGGTCTGCTGGGGAGCAGGGGCTGTGGCTCTCAATCAGCTTGTAGGATTCTTGGAGAAAGGCTTTTTGAAGACACCCCAGTAACAAGATGTGTATGGCGACTTGGACCTCCGGAGATCTGAAAGCCATTAATCATATGAAATTAAGGCAGTTAATCAAGTCTCAGAAACTGACAAAAGATTGTTCCTAAGGCTTTTACCTTGAATATCACTGGAAAATGATAGTTTCAGCTTTCCACCTGATTCTCTCTGCCAGCTAATTCATTTTAGTCAGAAGCAACCCAAGGTCAGCCTCATGTGGCTGTGTCAGCTCAAGATGTTGCTTTACTTCTGTCAGGCTCCAGCTCTGCTCGCTGCTCACAGTGTCATGGAGGTGCTGCTGGGTTCTGCAGCTCAGCTTGGGGGAAGAGCTGATTCTGCAGACCTCAGTTTGGGGTTGTTTGGAACTGGAAGCATTTCTGTCATCAGATGAGATGCTATGTGCAGTAATAGGGAGCATTACTACTACAGAGCAAGGGCATGCTCAAGGCACAGGCTGTGGTCATGCTATCTGCATTCTGAATTCACACAGAAACCCTAATTCAGCTAATCTTTTTCTCATTACGTAATTTATGCAATTACTCTCAAATTGAATTGCTCCAGGTGCTGATTTTTGCCCTGTTGGTTGTCTGCTGATTCCTTTGCTGTCAAATGCAGCAGTGGTAACAATCAGAGGTCAGAGCCCCTCTCAGGGCTGCTTCTTTTTGCTGTGCTCATGGCCCCACAGCTGGGTATCCTGAATGCAGTTTGCATTGTTCCATGGTGCCAAGGTCCCCCACACAACTACAGGGATGATGCCCAAACCCTGGTGCTGGGGGGTCGGGCTGCTCCTGGTGGTGGCTGTGGCTGTGCTGTGCTCACCATGGCAGCAGTGCCCTCTGCCCTGCCCATGGGGTGTCACAGTGTCCCTGCCATAAGGACAACAGCACAAACTGCAAGACTCACATCTTGCAAGCCTCCTGCCAAAGCTCACCTGTGCTCAAGCAGGAGGAGCTGGGTACTTAAATACAAATGATCGTGTCTATATATCAGAGTTTCTCCTAATTTGATGGTAAAGTGAAAAGCAATCCAGGGCTTAACAGCATGTGCTGTAGTGCTAATTCCTGCACTGAACCTGAGTTATGCTGGGAAGTTATTTTTGTGTTATACAGGAGATGGGTGTTTTGGGTGCAGGTTAGCCTGCGATCTCAGATGGATTCAGAATCACAGTGCTGGAGCCTTAACGTCCATTCATATCAGTGGGAAGTTTCCAGCCAGCTTTGAGGGGCTTTGAAGTGATTTATTCTGGAGGATAAATAGCATATCTGAATATAAAAGCTGAATTGGCATCAGTTAGCTGCAGGACTCTTCCTGCCAGCCCTGCAGATCCAAAGCTCCCACCACACAGTTGGTTGTGCTAAGGTAAGCAAGTAGGATGCTCAGCCTAGGGGATGCACCAAGCCCCACACCTCATCCTACTGGCTTTGCAAAGAGGATGAAAACGGAGGAAAGAGCAACTATTTTCTGTCCCCTCTAAAGACTGCATTTCTGCGGTGTTGCTATTGGCACTGTTACTGTTTGGCACCTTTTTGCCATCTCGTTCTGTTGATGGCAATTAAAATAGCCCGGTTTCACGTGCGACTTCCTTGAGAAGGCATATTAAGCACTAAGGGATCCCATAAGCCATCTCCTGTAATTACCGATAGTAGCACCAGGTGGCGAAAGCAGCCTTCATTTCGTGTGCTGCTCAGTGTCAGCATGCAGGAATAACGCCGGTAACAGCACTAACGCAGCCTTCAAGAGCGAGAGGAAATGGTTGCTTCTGCATTATCATCTCAAAAGATGTGCCGAGGCTTTCGCCAGGCTATTTATGATGACACTGTCCTGCAGAGATGACCCCCTCAGTCATTACCACCTGATGAAGAAACGCTGCTATGTTCATCTCGTGAAAGACTGAAGTCAACACAGCAAAACTTGGAGGATGTGCCTATGGCTGACTTGGAGTTCCTAGCAAAAATGGCAAATGGAAGCATTTGGCCAAGGCTAGAGGTGCTGTTGTGCAGGATTTTGGTTGCACTAATATCCTGTGATGCTTTATGCATCCTCTCATTGGGATTTCATGGCATCTTTTCCCAGGGAAGGGGCAGCATGGTGTACAAAGACTGGCTCGAGGCACAGCTGTGCCAGGATACAAGAATGGCATTTGTGATTGAAAATATTTTGTTTCAATAGTCTTTTATTGAAAGAAAGAGTGGTCAGGACAGGGACTTTGAGTCTGACTTGGTTTCCATGTTTGCATCACCAAGGCCAGTCCTTGTTGTCACAGGTACCCACTGACTGTGGCAGCAGCAGCCCTGGGCAAGTGAATTGCAGATGCTTCTCTGACTCTTGTGCTGAGCATCAAGCATGGATTTCTGTTTTTAAAAACAAGTATCTCTTGTAAAGTGACTTAAAATTCACGTTATCCTTAGTGAAAGCTAAGTTTTCAATCCAGAGAATGCAGTTGGTGCTCTGAGTATTTCTAAGTCCACTTGTTGTGACCCGGGGACAGAAGCAATGTAAGCAGAGTTTTCCCTTTGCATTCCCAGCTGCAGCTGAACACCACAAACTGGGTTGTGCTTTGGGTCTGGACCTGCAGGCTTTGCCACAGAGCAGCTATTTCTCTCTGCAGGGCTGCTTTTGTCTCGTGGCACCTCTGCATGTTCCAGACCAGTCTCTCATCAGAAGCCTGTGGATATCTACTCTGTGCATCAATTATCTGCTCTGCTGTCTTTTGGGCATTGTTTACGCTTCTTGACTAAGGGCAGAGACATAGAATGTGTTCAGAGTTACCCTCACTACATCAGTGCTTCCTGTAGAGCCCTGATTTCTGGCATCACCCTACAACCCCATGCCCTGGGGGTGTGGAGTGAGAGCTGGGGTTGCTAAGACTATGCCATGTACGCGTGGTCTGAACCCATCTGCAAATCCAGTGCTGTTCATCATCCATAATGCTTACCTGTGGGCATGCATTCTGCTGGCTGCAGCCCAGAGCACTGCAGGATGCTGGAGAGGAAGGCTCTGTGTGCTTGCAGGACAGTCCTGCTCTGTCAGGGGTTGTGCTGAACCTTCTGAAGCTCTGGAGGTCAAGAACACATTGCTTTTTAACACAATATTTTAATTCTGCATTATTTCTCTTTGAAGAAAGGAGATGCAGCAGAAGGGAGATACTGACTGTGCTGCTTCTCAACTGCCTGCAAATTGTATGTGACTGCTTTCCTTCTGCTGCTCTCAGCCTTGATAACAGAGCAGCACAGCACGAGACGTAATGGATTAGGAATCTTGTTGGAAGGATTTTAAACCCTTGTTGCACATCAGTCTGCAGTGTCCTCTCCCCATTCTGGAGAGAGTAATGTAACACAGCTATGCCATGATTACTCTGCTGATTAAGAGGCATCATTATATGTCGCCTTTGGAGCTTTCAGCTTTGAAGCTGAAGACAAATAATGAAGGTGCTGAGCAGACTGCACCTTCTCTCTCCTGCTCTCCCTGTAAAATGCCTTATTTGATTTATTTCACACACCCCAAAAACAGGACATAGATTATTAAACATTGCCCAATCTTTCCGTTCTCATAGGCAATGCTGTTTGTGAAATAGTCTACTTGCAGGTCTTTCCAATGCTGTTGAACATCCTAAAAGCAATATATTTGGAAACAGGAGTTCTTCAAGAGTTGTGCTATTGAAATATACAGGAGTTTCTTACCTTACTCTGAACACATTTGAAATTGAAAACATAGTTCCAAGTTTTTATCTGCAGCCATATTGTATTCTATGGTTACATTCTGAAGTAAGTTTATTTAAAACATTGATACTTCTTACCCACCTTCATTTACAGGGAGATCTGAGTTCTGCAGATGGGCTCAGGGTGTCATTCAGCAGGTCAGATCAACAAGCACAGAGGTGAAATGACTGATAAGAGACTTGGAGCACCTGTTGCCAGGCAGCAGTCTGCCATGTGTATTAGAATCATAGAATCATAGAATGGCCACAGTGCTCATCCAGTCCCAACCCCCTGCTGTGTGCAGGTCGCCAACCAGCAGCCCAGGCTGCCCAGAGCCACATCCAGCCTGGCCTTGAATGCCTGCAGGGATGGGGCATCCACAGCCTCCTTGGGCAACCTGTTCCAGTGCCTCACCACCCTCTGGCTGAAAAACTTCCTCCTCGTATCCAACCTAAACCTCCCCTGTCTCAGTTTTAAACCATTCAATCTTATCCTAAAGGATTATTATTCTTATTTTTTTAACTGTATGGCATTTTCTCAGCACTGCCAATGCAAAACGTGGCAGACCTTTGATTCTCTCCACTACTGAACTTCAGCAGATGGCGCAGTGTTGTGGCACATGACGAACCATCCTGTATCACTAGCTAATGATGGAGCACCAGCTTCCTCCCAGTGATCACTGCAACTGCTAAGAGCAGCCCCAGGATTACTGTGGTTATGGTGAGTGTTTCCTTGAATATAATTTCCCAAATGCTTTTAGCTTTACTGTGACAGTTTTTCTCTAATTGCAGAAATAACAAAATGCCTTGAGCATATTTATTCACTTGAGTTTTATTTCAGTTACTCATTATAAAAGTGTTAATAATGGCCCGAAGGGAAGGAATAGAATTGCATTTGAGCAATAGAGAGCCAAAGACAAGTTGGTTTAAAATTTTGCATAATGGACCAATATGCCCTTTGTAGAGTTTTTCTTTTCTGCTTTTTCATTTCCCCTTCTGCCACTTGATGGTTCAAAAAGCAGAAAGGAAAAAAAAAAAGGCAACTGGGTTATGTGATATTGTGTATCTTGGACTGAGTAACTGTTGGGAAAAGTCAGTCTTTCAGGTAATCATAGAATCACAGTATGGCCAGGGTTGGAAGGGACCTCAAGGATCACGAAGCTCCAACCCCCCACCACAGGCAGGGCCACCAACCTCCACATCTCACAGCAGCCCAGGCTGCCCAGGGCCCCATCCAACCTGGCCTTGAACACCTCCAGGGATGGACGGGGCATCCACAGCCTCTCTGGGCAGCTGTTCCAGCACCTCACCACTGCCATAGCAAAGAACTTCCCTGTGACATCCAACCTCAATCTTCTCTCCTTCAAACCATTTCCCCTTGTCCTGCTGTCACTCACCCTTTCATAGAGTTGACTCCCCTCCTGTCTGTAGGCTCCCTTTAGGTACTGAAAGGCTGCAATGAGGTCACCCCGCAGCCTTCTTTTCTCCAGGCTGAACAAGCCCAGCTCCCTCAGCCTGTCTTTGTAGTGGAGGTGCTCCAGCCCCCTGATCATCTTCATGGCCCTCCTCTGGACCCTC